ACCCTGAGGCCATTCTCCCCCTAACTGTGCAGGCTGCAGTGGAGGAGCAAATGGGGCTCTGGAGAGGTCTGCACTAAGACTTCACAGATTATGTAGGTGCCCAATATTCAGATTCTGAAGAACCACCTTCATGGAGAAGGTACTTGTCTAGGTTACCTGCCTGGGACACTTTGCACCTGATGGTGCTGAGACTGACCAGTGGGCCAAAGACTTCATCCACATGTTCCTGCTGCCTGTGTAGATGGTTGGGGAGAGGACACTAAGTGGTTGCAGGGTCCCAATGCACTGGGAGGCTGGAGAGAACACCCCTCTGCTTTCTTAGACAAGAGGCACTGATAAAGCATACCTCCCTGGATCCCAGTTCAGTAGAGGGACAAACTATTTTTAAAGGTAAGTTTATTACTCAGTCAGCCCCAAATAGTAGAAAAAAGCTACAAAAAAATGGCTTTTGCCCCAGATAGCTCACTTGAGATGTTAGTAAGAATTGCCTCCTCAGTATTTTATAGCTGTGAGGAGGCGGCGGCCAAGGAGAGAAAAAAAAAAAGAGAACGAGAAAAAACAGCTGCCTTTGTTGTAGCGCTAAGAAAAACAGACCCTAAGTCTGATTCTCGGGGCCCCAAGAACTCGCTGACTACATTCATCTGCTACCGCTGTCAAAAGCCAGACCACCTCAAGAGGGACAGCCCTAAGAAGCCCCCTGGGCCATGCCCTGACTGTAAAGGTGACCACTAGAGGTCAGACTGCCCTCTGAAGCGAAGGTCCCAGAGCTCACTCAGATCCCTCCTACCAGTTAGTCTAACAGGAATGAGTGGGCCCAGAGCATCTCTGCCTTCTCCCTCTGGTCAGACTGTCATCTTCAAGGAGGAACCCCACAAAATCATTACTATAGAGGAAAAAGTGAACAGCCTATTACTGGACACTGGTGCTAATCTCTCGGTCCTTCTTTTGAATCCCGGCCTTCCTTCTACCCTTCACACCTCAGTGAAAGGAGTCACTGATGAGGAGGTGATCCACTATTTTTCACAACCCTTAGGCTGTAACTACTTGTTAGATCTTTCTTGCATATCTTTGTTTTCCTGAGAAACCACTTTGCAGATACCAACATGTGTTACAGCAGCCATTGATAATTTCCTACCAATCTGTCCATAACTCTGTAATGTTTTTATTGTTCCTATGCTATTTCGTAAATCGATGTATGTCTATTACTAGGTGTCTTCAACAACAACCACTGAGAATAGTCAATGATTATTTGATTGATGACTCATGTATAGCTCTATTTGTTTTCCCTAGAAACCACTTTGAAGAAACCAAAGTATAGTACAACAACCATTGATAATTTCCTAACACTTCTGTCTGTAACTCACTATTATTTGTCTATTTGTTTTCCTGAGAAACTATCTTGAAAATACCAATAGGTAAAATAACAACCATTGATATTACCCTACCACTTTGTCTCAGTACTCTGGTTTCTCTTCAAATCGCATACATCTTTTGCCTGTTACTACCACTTTGTAATTCAGTAAATCCCCCTATTACTATGTTATCCTTCTTTTACTTTTCTAAATAAATAAATTAATTAATTTTTTAAAAGAATTTTTAAAATACATAGAAGTTCTTAGTTTATTTATTTATTTTTGTTTTTTGTTTTTGTTTTTTGAGACAGGGTCTCGCTATGCAGTTCAGGCTGGCATTGAGCTCACTTTGTAGCCCAGGCTGGTCTTGAACTTGCAATGATCCTTTTGCCTCAGCCTCCCCAGTGCTGGGATTACAGGCGTGTGCCACCACGCCTGGCTGAAGTTCTTAGTTTTAATAAAGTTACACTGCTCTTTAATAATTTGTACTGTATTTCTATTTTTTTCTATCCTCTGGAATTTTATATGAAATTACAATATTTGTTCCTTGAAAGCTCAGCTTATACTCACGTATAAGCTGGGCGTGGTGGCACAAGCCTGTAATCCCAGCACTCAGGAGGCTGAGGCAGGAGGATCGTTGTGAGTTTGAGACCAGCCTGGGATACAAAGTGAGCTCAAGGCCAGCCTGAACTGCACAGCGAGACCCCATCTCAAAAAAGACCAAAAAAAAAAAGACTCACTTATAAAACTAACTAGGTGCGGGGCTGGGGATTTAGCTCAGCGGCAAAAGCGCCTGCCTGGCAAGCGCAAAGTCGTGAGTTCAGTTCTCGGTACCGGAGAAAAACCAAAAAAAAAAAAAAAAACTAACTAGGTGCTAGCTGGGCATGTGGGCACATACCTGTAATCTCAGCACTCAGGAGGCTGATGAAGGAGGATCGCTGTGAATTCGAGTTCAGTACAGGCTACACAGTGAGTTGAAGGCCAGCCTGCATTACATAGCAAGACCTAGTCTCCAAAAACATACATAAATAAGTAAATTTTAAAAACTAACTAACTGGGTGCCAATGCTATAGCCCAGAAATACAATGCTTACCCAGCAGGCTCAAGGATCTAGATTCAATTATCAGGACCAGCTGTTAAAATGAAGATCAGGAAAGTTGGCTGTGGTGGCACAGGCCTGCAATCCCAGCACTCAGGAGGCAGAGACAGGAGGATTGTTGTTCAAGGCCAGCCTGGGCTACAGAGTGAGTTCAAAGCCACTCTGAACTACATACCAAGACCCTATCTCAAAAAACAAAACAAAAACCCCACACCTATCTGGGCTCCGTTTTGGGAGTTTTTTGTTTGGAGACACAGTCTTGCTTTGTAGTTCAGGCTGGCTTTGAATTCACTCTGTAGCCCAGGCTGGCCCTGAACTCACAGCGATCCTCCTGCCTCAGCCTCCAGAATGCTGAGTTTACAGGTGTGTCCACAACATCCAGTTTTTTGTTTATTTTTTTGTGGAAATTCTTAAGCTATTTCAATTTCTTCTATAGTTGAAGGCCATTCAGGGTTTTAACTTC